GGTATGTTAACCTAATACTGACACATCCCTGTGACACACTCATCCTCTTCACATAGCTTTGTCAGGCTGACCAGTATGACTTGTATACGTGCGAACACCCATGTTTTGGTATGTTAACCTACTGACCCTAATACTGACACATCCCTGTGACACACTCATCCCCTTCACATAGCTTTGTCAGGGTGACCAGTATGACTTGTATACATGGAACACCCCTGTTTTAGGTATGTTAACCTACTGACACATCCCTGTGACACACTCATCCCCTTCACATAGCTTTGTCAGGGTGACCAGTATGACTTGTATACGTGCGAACACCCATGTTTTGGTATGTTAACCTACTGACCCTAATACTGACACATCCCTGTGACACACTCATCCTCTTCACATAGCTATGTCAGGCTGACCAGTATGACTTGTATACGTACGAAAACCACTGTTTTGGTATGTTAACCTAATACTGACACATCCCTGTGACACACTCATCCTCTTCAAATAGCTATGTCAGGCTGACCAGTATGACTTGTATACGTACGAAAACCACTGTTTTGGTATGTTAACCTAATACTGACACATCCCTGTGACACACTCATCCCCTTCACATAGCTTTGTCAGGGTGACCAGTATGACTTGTATACATGGAACACCCCTGTTTTAGGTATGTTAACCTACTGACACATCCCTGTGACACACTCATCCCCTTCACATAGCTTTGTCAGGGTGACCAGTACAACTTGTATACATGGAACACCCATGTTTTGGTATGTTAACCTAATACTGACACATCCCCGTGACACACTCATCTTCTTCACATAGCTATGTCAGGGTGACCAGTATGACTTGTATACATGTGAACACCCATGTTTTGGTATGTTAACCTACTGACACATCCCTGTGACACACTCATCCCCTTCACATAGCTATGTCAGGGTGACCAGTATGACTTGTATACATGTGAACACCCATGTTTTGGTATGTTAACCTACTGACCCTAATACTGACACATCCCTGTGACACACTCATCCTCTTCAAATAGCTATGTCAGGCTGACCAGTATGACTTGTATACGTGCGAACACCCATGTTTTGGTATGTTAACCTACTGACCCTAATACTGACACATCCCTGTGACACACTCATCCTCTTCACATAGCTATGTCAGGCTGACCAGTATGACTTGTATACGTACGAAAACCACTGTTTTGGTATGTTAACCTAATACTGACACATCCCCGTGACACACTCATCCTCTTCACAGAGCTATGTCAGGGTGACCAGTACAACTTGTATACATGGGACACCCATGTTTTGGTATGTTAACCTAATACTGACAAATCCCTGTGACACACTCATCCCCTTCAAATAGCTATGTCAGGGTGACCAGTATGACTTGTATACATGGAACACCCCTGTTTTAGGTATGTTAACCTACTGACACATCCCTGTGACACACTCATCCCCTTCACATAGCTTTGTCAGGGTGACCAGTACAACTTGTATACATGGAACACCCATGTTTTGGTATGTTAACCTAATACTGACACATCCCTGTGACACACTCATCCCCTTCACATAGCTATGTCAGGGTGACCAGTATGACTTGTATACGTGCGAACACCCATGTTTTGGTATGTTAACCTACTGACCCTAATACTGACACATCCCTGTGACACACTCATCCTCTTCAAATAGCTATGTCAGGCTGACCAGTATGACTTGTATACGTGCGAACACCCATGTTTTGGTATGTTAACCTACTGACCCTAATACTGACACATCCCTGTGACACACTCATCCTCTTCAAATAGCTATGTCAGGCTGACCAGTATGACTTGTATACGTACGAAAACCACTGTTTTGGTATGTTAACCTAATACTGACACATCCCTGTGACACACTCATCCTCTTCACATATCTTTGTCAGGCTGACCAGTATGACTTGTATAAGTGTGAACACCCATGTTTTGGTATGTTAACCTACTGACCCTAATACTGACACATCCCTGTGACACACTCATCCTCCTCTTCACATAGCTTTGTCAGGCTGACCAGTATGACTTGTATACGTGCGAACACCCATGTTTTGGTATGTTAACCTACTGACCCTAATACTGACACATCCCTGTGACACACTCATCCTCTTCAAATAGCTATGTCAGGCTGACCAGTATGACTTGTATACGTACGAAAACCACTGTTTTGGTATGTTAACCTAATACTGACACATCCCTGTGACACACTCATCCTCTTCACATAGCTATGTCAGGCTGACCAGTATGACTTGTATACGTGCGAACACCCATGTTTTGGTATTTTAACCTAATACTGACACATCCCTGTGACACACTCATCCTCTTCACATAGCTTTGTCAGGCTGACCAGTATGACTTGTATAAGTGTGAACACCCATGTTTTGGTATGTTAACCTAATACTGACACATCCCCGTGACACACTCATCCTCTTCACATAGCTATGTCAGGCTGACCAGTATGACTTGTATACGTGCGAACACCCATGTTTTGGTATGTTAACCTACTGACACATCCCTGTGACACACTCATCCCCTTCACATAGCTTTGTCAGGGTGACCAGTACAACTTGTATACATGGGACACCCATGTTTTGGTATGTTAACCTAATACTGACAAATCCCTGTGACACACTCATCCCCTTCAAATAGCTATGTCAGGGTGACCAGTATGACTTGTATACGTGCGAACACCCATGTTTTGGTATTTTAACCTAATACTGACACATCCCTGTGACACACTCATCCCCTTCACATAGCTTTGTCAGGGTGACCAGTATGACTTGTATACGTGCGAACACCCATGTTTTGGTATTTTAACCTAATACTGACACATCCCTGTGACACACTCATCCTCTTCACATAGCTATGTCAGGCTGACCAGTATGACTTGTATACGTGCGAACACCCATGTTTTGGTATGTTAACCTACTGACCCTAATACTGACACATCCCTGTGACACACTCATCCCCTTCACATAGCTTTGTCAGGGTGACCAGTACAACTTGTATACATGGGACACCCATGTTTTGGTATGTTAACCTAATACTGACAAATCCCTGTGACACACTCATCCCCTTCAAATAGCTATGTCAGGGTGACCAGTATGACTTGTATACGTGCGAACACCCATGTTTTGGTATGTTAACCTAATACTGACAAATCCCTGTGACACACTCATCCCCTTCAAATAGCTTTGTCAGGGTGACCAGTATGACTTGTATACATGTGAACACCCATGTTTTGGTATGTTAACCTACTGACCCTAATACTGACACATCCCTGTGACACACTCATCCCCTTCACATAGCTTTGTCAGGGTGACCAGTATGACTTGTATACATGTGAACACCCATGTTTTGGTATGTTAACCTAATTCTGACCCATCCCTGTGACACACTCATCCCCTTCAAATAGCTTTGTCAGGGTGACCAGTATGACTTGTATACATGTGAACACCCATGTTTTGGTATGTTAACCTAATACTGACACATCCCCGTGACACACTCATCCTCTTCACATAGCTATGTCAGGGTGACCAGTACAACTTGTATACATGGAACACCCATGTTTTGGTATGTTAACCTAATA